AAAAAATAACAAATTAGTGGTGTTCTCATCTCCCTCTGATTAGGAGTTTATTTCAAAATCTGACAGAAAGTCGCACCAGACAGGAGATATGCGCATGGGCAGGCCTGTATTCGTTACGCACACTACAAGTAGAAAAGCGAATAGAATGTCCAGTTTTGCTGGTTCGAGTACACACTAGCTCCTCCTCTATTGGAAGCAACGAACGTTGCCGGTGGTCATTTCGAAGATGACACGCGAAGAACAGGCAGCTCCGGCGTCGCGTAGAACTGGGGAAACTGGAAAGAAGGGGAGATCATTTCCCATAGGAGCGAGGAAACAGAGAGGAAGAAAACGCGGAATGAAAAACTGTCGCCCCCAGGGTACCTACCTTCCTTGTTGTAGGCCTCGAGTTGCTCTACCGTGACCCACTGATGCAACAGAATGAAGTACGGTCGCCGCATGCCCCTCCAACGACCGGCTTGGGTGGTACCAGCCACGATAAGACCGCCTTTGCGATGAATCATCTCCTCCACTGTGTTGAGGTACTTGATAAAATTGCGACCGTTCTTCACGTCGTACATGTCCATCTGGAAGAAGGGATAGTCGCCAATGTGTCGCACGGGGTTGCATAACGGCACCACATACATCTCCACACCACCGAGCCACATCTTCTCGCGGAGTTCAGTGCGCGACTCGATGCACTTCACAGCCTGGTCGTGATCATCGAAACTGATGATGCCGAGAGCGTAACCAGTGGGGAAGCAACCCTCGATGCAACGCAGGCACTAAAATGTGAGAGACAGGAGGATATTTGCTTACAACGCCTCTCCTTGACTAGCGATAAGGTATCATCAACGTCGGCTAACGGCGGATCTTGACCCCTGGAAATGATGATGGTACTTGGTAATAATAAGTAGTATTTATTTTCTGCTTTAACTGTCCTCCATATAACTTTATTCCTCGACGAATCATGTGGCCTAAGCTCAGGAAAGTGCCATCAAAGGGTAGCAGTGAACTGAATGGCAGGTTCCTCACCAATGGATTGCAGGCATTCCCTGCCTTCTCTTACTATCTTCTAGACGCCTACCTTGATCCTTCATCACATGGCGGAATAGATAACAAACAGGTTTGAATTGAGCTGCTGTTTATGGTAATAAAAGTGACCATTTTGTTTTTTTGGACTCCAGTCAGCGGCGCAATAAAAGCAAGTCTTGGGAGATGTGCGACTCTTGGTGTTGTTGAAGTTGGGATGATAATCGTCCTCATTAAAAAATAGGTGGTATTTTGAGCTTACAGCTCCAGTCCCATTTGATCCTTTAGAGTCGGTTGCATCCTAATTTGATGCAAGGTAACCTAACGCAACCCAGACTAACTGCAAGCGCTAACCCCTTACCCAAACCACTAATCCCTAACCCCTACCCCTGATCCCTAACCCCTAACAATTACGGCTGCGAAATAAGATTTTGCCGAACGTACAAGTTAGACATAATGTTTTACCACGATCTTTATATGTAACTATAGCGTCATGTTAAATCATTATTTCTAGTTAGCTACGGCTCAAAAAGCAGAAAGTATGATAAAACATTTCAAATTCACTTGCCTTTGACATTCCGAAAAATTCCCCGTTTCCGTAAGCATGAAAAACTGGAATATTCAGAACCATTGTGTTGCGAAATTTGCCGAAGGTGCTCTCTTTCGTGTCATAAATTATCATGACGAAACATTGCCTCGTGTTTCGTGGAATATCCTGAAATAGAATAAGCCCGATCAGTCGAGTACAGGTCCACTTTTCTATTCATAATATGTTGCTTGGTCTTAACCTGGTGAAAAGTTTATTCTGCAAAACAGAACAGGAACGTCGGTTCTAATTCTAAGTTTTAAGCAATGGACGATATCATTTCTGCAGTTAAATAGTGGTGTGCATTGGTACACTTAAAAAAAAACACTGAACCTAATGAAGATTAAGCCAAAACTCGCTGGCACGGTATAGGGGTGTAAAGGACGAAAGTACACATACCACAGCGGCTGGCCTGTACATGTCCTTTGAGGCAACCCATCCCGTTGCATTGGAGGCGTTTTGATTTAGTTCTTCGTAAAAGAGATTTTAGTTCGCCAGGAAAGCAGGGAAGGCGACTTACCAGCTTCGTCGGTCATTTCGCGCTGCTCCATCGCGGCTGTGGACGACGGTTGTCTCAGAAGTCGGCGCAGAGGGTTTGAATCGAGACGGATCGATAACTCTGCGCCCAGCCAATGAGAATGGGACACCAGCTGTTGGGCGCGTTATATGGCTCCAGATTTTCCTCCCGAAAGAGCTGACAAAGCGCCCGACAAGACCGACTTCTTCTGGACCGCTAAAATGCAGGCTTCTTTTACGTCAGTTCACCTATTGGGACAGACAGCTGAATTAGGCCTTGTGGTGATAAAATGGAAACAATATTTTGTAAAACGTTGATTGGGTGCAATAAATAGACCAGCTAAGAACTCGACGTGTACCGTTCCCGTTTTTGTGTATGCATCTTAGAAAATGAGAAGAAAAGATCTTGGTGAAGTGCTGTTTACAGAATCTTAGAAAGGGACCCTCAACCAGCAGGTTACCATTTCAGATGATGATCATGTTTCCTGAGTTCTAGGATATGCTCAGGAAATGCGACTTGGTGAGGAGAACTTTGGCAATGCCAGTCTCACTTCCCCCTGTCTTCCGATTTTCATCATGCCATCGTTGAGGGCTGGGTCGAGAGAAGTAGAGGTGCGGCCACGCCAGTTTGCCTTCTCTTTGCCATACAAAAATGTGGGTAATTACTTTCTTCCAGGTAACCAACTGTGGCAGAGGGATATTTGATGCTGATATCGATATCGCCTTTAGACTAGCATAGGGTTTCTTTCGCACGGAGCTTTAAGCACCCCACTCAGTCGTGCTCAAAGTTATCCGCCCGGTCAAATTTACGACAGCTAGATATAATAGAAGGATCCTGAAAAATGAAATTTTGGTTTTGATATGTAGTCCGAACGAAAGGCAGAGACCGTAATGACTGGTCAGACGGTGAGCTCATTCCGAATTTGCCGACGAGAGCCCAGGTGATAGAATCGACTAAAGAAGCTCCCAGTTATCTGGCCGGGTAAGCACAGTCGGGCAAAAACTAGCACTGATGTGAGCAGTTCAGGTTTTTCGCAACTCCGTTAACTAATGAACCATCGTCCCTGTTTCTCCTCGAGCGCGGGAGTTCGTCTTTGAAATCAGGAGCTACCGTGCGATGCCTCAATGCCGTACTGAGGCTGCGCTAAGTCATGGCGCATGAAACAGGTGACATTCCTGAAGAAGCCTAGGAACCTTGCATTGACGAACTTGCGTTCTGGTAACTAAATGACTGCGGAAAAACTGAATCCTACCTGTCTCGTGCCCTCATGAGGAGAAGTAGGACAAAATGCGAGAACTCCAGCCACTCAGTGTCACGAAAAATACTGGTTACCATCGCTCTCACTCATTAGGCCGCTAGAAGATGTCATGATAATCCTGTCGCTATGTTACGGCTACAAAGTTGCTACTGATTGTCCTTTAAACTTCCAGTTAAGACGGTCTATAGAAGGCCGTGTCATGGCTGAATGAAGCCGCCAAATTAGTTGATTTGTCCGTCAAGGCTGGAAAACTCAACGTTCTTGAATGGGGCGAGGCAAGTCCCGGGCTTGGTGCTCGTTGGCCTGGGGAAATGGGCGATTTAATGGATACGGTAAGATTTTACCTTAGTTTCGATTTCAGTTTATTTGAGGGAAACGTACATATTGAATCCTTGAGCTCCCTATTCGAAAGGAAAGTATGTCAAAGATTTGAAAATGCAAATATCAAACAGCTACAGAAATTCACCGGAGCTGGGCAGACAAACAAATAATTTCAAGTGCTAAAACATTAACATTACTAAATGCACTGTACAGTAGTCAGTCCATGCATAACTGGGCCGTAGAAAATTGGTACGATGTCAATCATCTGAGGGAGACGAAATGAATGCAAACATTTGTGTGCAATAGACTCAGACAATAAGTAAATAAAACAACAAATATTACTGAAATACAGACAGTAATATTATAGCAGTAATAAACGGTCAGAACGGAGCGCTAAGGCGATATCGGTCGGGTGACATTATGATGTGTTGTTGTACACTGATCTAGCTTGTGCCCAAAGGCCTCGCGGATGTGGACATGGCGATACCTGCAGGCAGAGCATTCCAAACTACTCTGTTGGAAAAGAAGAACTTCCGTGCGTCCGGCCTGGCATCAGTCATATGTAGCTCGGAAATTCGCTATGGTTGCTAATTCAAAGAAGCCATCAAGTAAAAGACAGCAGTCCTGACCGCGCATAATCCGGAGTGTTTTGTATCAGGTCGTCTCTTAGTCGTCTGTACCTCGGAGGAAGGAGGCCGAAGTTGGATAACCGTGTTTTGTAGGGTAGTGAACCAGTCCATTTACGAGCTTGGTTGCACGCCTTTGAACATTCTCAAGGATGCTGAGGTCTGTAGCGCCCATAGTTTCCACGCCTGAATAGGGAAATCTACCTGTGGACGTACAAATGTCCGAAAGACTTTATCGAAGGTAGGGAAAGCCCGCTTGACATCGGGGACTTCGCTACCTGAGGGCAATGGAGCGACGGTCTAAGTGAAGCTGTGACCCACATACCCAAGTTCTTCTGATGAGCAAACCACTTGATGTCGGGGGGAAAAAGTGAAGGTGTGAAGTCTCTAGGCACATGGCAGTGTGAGTTCCAAATTGATGGGCGGTAAAGCCCTCAAAGTTTAAAACATAAGACCATAAATATGCTAGAGAAGGAAAGATGTTATTCGTGTGGTCAACCTCAAAGCACGATCTAAAATTACTTCACACATCATGACGTGTTGTCCCACTGCCGACATCCTCACTGGTTATCTGCAACCATTGCAATATAGAGAAAATCGCAAATTAAGTAGCATGTATTTTTCCAATGGTTTTCGGTAGTTCCGCATACTAAACCCCTACTCCCTCCACCATGGGGAAAACAGAGATGACTTTTTACTACTGTTTTAGTTGTTGAGCGGGCTTGATCCTCATGTGGACCGGGAAAATCTTTTAAAAATGGCAGCGAAGACTTATAGCTGACGTCATGATTGCCAAATTAAAGAGGCACTGTGCCCACCAATCAGTGTTTCCTCCTTTTCTCGCAAAGAGTCATTAGGCAGGGGAATTTTTTTACCGACGTACTGTGCATGACCGATCGCATGAACTGTTGACCGAAATTCAGAAATGCGTTTTCGATAAGAAAGGACTAATAAACTGGCGTTTTAATATTAATTATCATGTAGCACAATCCTATAGTATTTCGGACTCGCATGATGTCGGCTTTTGGATACACTTCTTTCTGATCTCCCGCAGAAACCGTACACAGTAAAAAAGTAGCAAGCATTTTTCACACTGGTTTTCGATGTTCATATAAATTCAATATATATTTTACAGAAAACATGCAGTAAAATATACTTTCTTCCGGTTTTTTTTCGTAGGAAATACCACTGTATTTTTATTTTATACCCTAAGAAGGATATCTTTCGGTTTTAAAAAAAGTTTCAAACTATGAAGTTTTGAAGACCGTGGGATGTTCATGTATACAGCATCGCTCGTGTCCGTTTACCGATGTTCCTCATGAAATGTACAACGCAGCCCTTATCCATTGCAAAATTCTATGAACTCTTAGAGGCATAGAGGAATATATGTTTTTCCTTACGCGAAAAGCATGCAGATTGCAGACTGAAATCGTTAAACTCTAATGCAACAGCTGACCAGGCTCAAAATTATTCGGTAATTGGGAGACTTTTTCAAAACCTAAATATACACTTTTTCTGGTATAAAATGTGAAGACAATGCGATTTTATACCAAAAAGTAATAGAAAGTATATGTTGCTGCATGTTTTCTGTTTGAATTTATAAGATCATCGAAAACCAGTGTTAAAAATGGCTGCTACTTAAGCAGTCACTTTTTGCCGAGTACGGTTTCTGCGAGAGGTCAGAAAGAAGTGCATCCAAAAGCCGACATCCTGGGGAGTCCGAAATACTATAGGATTGTGCTACATGATAATTAATATTAAAACTTCACCTTATTAGTCCTTCCTTGTCGAAAACGCATTTCAGAATTTCGGCCAACAGTTCATGAGATCGGTCAAGCCCTGAAAGTCACGTATCCCGCCTACATTAGTGTGATTAGGAGGTGTCTAGACACTCACCTGTTAAAGGTTACCGCGAACTCCCCAGACCGCCACCGAATATGTCGCTGTTATAGCTTTTAATAGTCTACTATCTTGATTTAAGTAACCATTTTGTTTACCTTAATGTTAGCACTGATGAAAATTGCGTGCGAATGCAGTCAACATGTTTTTCGATGTTATTCAGAAAATCCACCAGATTTTTAGAACTCCTGCCTCACTATGATTTTTGCGCATTCCGTATGCGGAAGTCACCTGTAATTCTTAGCAAATCATCTGCTCTTCATGCAGATTTGTTCCTTTAAAAAACCGATTTCAAGAGACTTTGCCACATACTCCAAATACACTGATTTCATTTGATTTGATATATCTTCAATTTTTTTTCAAAAAAATTGGATTAGTATCGCGTTTTCTACAATACTTTTAACGAAAATCACACCTCCTCCTGAGAAGTATTTTACTTGTAAATTTTTAGCACTTCCCGTCGTTTACAGCATTGTTTTAGTTTTTACTTATTGCTAAGGTCCCCTGCTGTTTTTGTAAAGACATTTGTTGACTTTACTGAAAACAATAGACACAGAGTTAATTCCCGTGTATATTCTCTGAGAGACTACGTCCACCTTTAGTTAATACTTCGTCTCTTTGACTATTTTGGCCATAAGAAAGCCACATGCCTCATGTGCATATGAAATGATGTCAAAAGGGGGGTCGCTTCTAAAATTTCCTTGGCCGTTATGGTATAAACGAGGTCCGTTGTTGTTACGCCTTTTAAACAGGTTTTTTATTTGAAACAAACTCTGAATTCCGACAATACTGGCTGGACAGAACTACAAATTAATGAAATCAAAGTGCAGCCGAAATGGATGAGTATATTTTAGGTTTTTCCTGTGTTACCGACGACAACCGAGAAATGTTAAAAATGAATATATTCCATTTTATACATATTTGCAGTAA